CCGATATGGCAAATAGAGTTAATGAAATGAGGAAATTAATGAAGGAAACAAGTATGTACGGAGTATTAGAGATAGGGCGAAGTTGATTTTCAGAATCAAGAATAAGTATGTTTAGTTTATATAAAGGAATATATAAACTGATGGATCGTGTCGTAGCCTTCACCACCTTTGTTAATTATTTATTTTCAACATTACGTTTTTTCTTTTTCTTTTATGAATATACCTTAGACAACTCGACCGTCGGTTGACGTAGCTTTAGTCCGAGGGTCGGGGGCAAGCGGCCCCAGCATAGATTTATACGACACGATTCATTTCGGGTAAAATTTGCAGTAAAAGATTTTTTTTTCTCGGTAGAGACATATGATTGAAAAAAAAAATCATTTACTTTTTTTAAAATATAATAATAATATTAGTTTAGACTTAAGATTCCCCTCCCCCTCCCTTAGATAGATTGTAGAATTAGGTTTTAGAATATGTTAGGATATTTAGTCGTCATGGTGTAAAGAAGTTATAGTGGGATTTTTGTTTGTGGAGAGTAGGTTGTTGCAACAAGATTATATAAATATAAGGGGGCGTCCATTAATCACGTGAGGTTTTTAGGGGGAGGGGGGGTTTGACAAAAAATCACGAAATATCACGAGGGGGAGGGAGGGGTATGGTAAGATATCACGTGTATTTATTTTTTAACTGATTTTTTAAAAAAAATCAAACATTTTCAAAAAAAGAATATTTTTTTTTAGTTTTTTCACGTAACTAAAAATACACGTGATGTTTGGTGGGGGAGGGGGGGTAATTTTTAATATCACCAAATATCACCAAGGGGGAGGGGGGGTCCAAAAATCCTTAAAAACTCGCTCACGTGATTAATGGACGCCCCCTAAGTCTGCAGGCTTATATCGGGACGCCATATCGGATGTACGTTTTTGTTATGTGTATATGAGATTATTATTGTTTAAAGCTGGGCCCAGTTGTCCACGAGCGAGGACCATTGAGGTGTCCGAATCGATGGACGCGTACGGTTTCAATCGGGGAAACCGCCCCTAATCAAACCCGCAGCCGTCGAATTTATTATGAGTTTTATGTTGAGTTATTTCGGGAATATTTTAAGAAGGTACCTTCAGTGAGACTGGAATGGCGCCATAGGTCGCACGTCGCCATTTCCCCGCGAAGGGGGCAACCTTGGAGGGCCCTTGTGCCGAGCTGGGGAACTCCGGGTGTGTACCGCTTACACGGGTGATTGTAATTGCCATTGTTTTTGGGTGGGCATAAGCGGTCGGTCTAGTGTTATTATGGTTGGGGCGCTGCGGAGGGAGCAAGAAGGATAACTAGATCTTAGCCCCCATCTGTGGTCTTGTGTTTGGGGGGCAATCACACCAGTAGAGTCTGAATTACTGTAAATGTCGCGCTCGTTAGTCATATAGTTATTTAAGAAATTGAGTCAGTTTCAAGCAGAGGTAAATAAATTCTTCATTGTTATCGTCACATTAGTTATTTGTTTATGTTTTTCAACGCGTCACTCCATATTATCCATATTATCGGGCTCATCGATTCTGGCGAACTAATTTAGATTTCGGGTTACGTTTATTTCATAATAACTAATACTACAACGAAGAAAATAGGGAACAGCACACACACATAGGTTAAGTTTGTTTTCAAGATAGCGTGTTTCAAAAAAAAAAAACTGTACAAAAAAAACGTTTTCTTTTTGGTAACATCTTAATTTTTCAACGTTAACTCCTTTTTTTGTATTGTAACATTATGCATAAATGCTAGTTTTTCTTTCGTGTTAAATTTGAATAACGTCGCGGTTTGAAGTTCATATAAGTACAGTTTTTTTTTCTTTCTCAAACACGAGCTATTGGAAAACAAAATTAATTAGTTTAGTTGAAGGTCAAATTGACCCATATATATATTTAGTTTTGATATTTGTCCTACAAATTATGGTTGTCAATTTATATTTATTTTTATTGAATACTTGTGATGTTTATTATCGATTTCTTTTTTGTTTGTTGTTCATCAACCTTCTTTGTTAACAAATGCGGGAATAGCTAGTGAGGAACCCAAGACGTCATATATCTGACCGAAAGCACAATTACTGAATGCACACACCCACAACTACAATCTACGTTCAAATTCATATTAAGTAAACCAGACTCCGGACGGGCAGCCAACAATTATGAATACCGGTTCGTGGACCCCAAACATGAATGAGCAACTGGATTTATCAGGAATTAGCAACAATTTTTAGAGCCGAGGGCGGCTCTGGTGTGACAGGGGGGCGTGTGACGATAATCATAATTATCGTCGTATTGATAATTATTGTCGCCTGATGGTCGTCAACCCCAGGGTACACCATCCCTACCCTTAACTATCTATTGGTTCTTGGGGTCCATCAGAGAGACGCTCCGGAGATCCCGGCAATTAAGAAGTAACAGCCATCTAAGACGTATCCCATAGGCGAACGCCTTGGGATACGTTAGTGTTAGTTGTGTGTGTGTTGTGCAACAAGACAGGTCCAGCTTAAAGGTCAGATAATGTAAATTATAAGCTGTAGCTATTCTCCCCTCATATCTCCATATAAGCATATATACCATGATATAAGAATAAGTGGTATTAGTTAGGGAACATGACCGTATGCAAGTACGGTCATGTTCCACAAATACATGCGGAATGTATTATTAATTATTTTAATAGATTTAGTTATAAAAGTAATCTTGGTTTCATTCGTATAGTAGCTACTAACCCCCACAGGTAATTACAGGTACTTTAGCGGGCGATTGGAGTGTTGAAGTAACCCCTTCGTAATGGGGTTGCAAGGCTACGAGATATAATCGGTTTGAATGGCCAAAAAAGTATTTGTTGAGATAGGTTCAAAGTGTTTAAGAAGTTCGTGATCTATCTGGATGCTGCCGAACTCTATTGAACACTTGCACTTTTTTGAAGGACCAGATATATTTAGTTGTTGGCTATATCAGACCGTTTGAATAATAAAAATAAAAGATGATGAATAACTGTTTAATTATTGTGTATTTGTAATATTAAGACTTATAGATGATATGTTATTGAATGTTCATTTACGACTGATCTTAACTATATGAAATTTAAGTTGATACGAAACAGCCGTTACGTTCTTGCCCGCGAAACAGATACTTCTGTGTGCCTCCCAGGTTACGTACCTGGTTCGTGCGGACGTGCCAGCGCTACGTAACATTCATGGCTTTGTTACATTTTGTGGTTTACTGGGATTATTTTGAACTTAATGACTATGTAGTCCTTACGATCATGTCAAGAACATATGACAGATAATTATTCGATGAACACACGCTCGTTAATTTTTTGCATTGATTTCATTCTCTAAATTTTCAAGATGTGAATTTTCTAAAAGTAAAATTAGTACTGAATCATATTTATTAAAACTAAATTATATTATAGCTAAAATTCTTTTTGTGTAAAACATTAATATACTAATTTTATAACATAAGATCGTCTTTTAAGGAATATTCAACAATTCATTTTCAACACCTAAAATACGTTTCAGTACAATTATACTCACCTTCTTTATCGGTTCCATATTCAATACTTTTGTAGCTGACTGTTTAACTAATTTCTACAACTGATAATACAATAGATATAAAACAATCAATAAATAATGATTCAATTAATAAAATATTTTGCGTTTCAAAAATATACGATAAAATATTCAATTCTGCTTCCACGATGCACTGACAAAATTAATCTATATTTAATTTGACATGCCGACCATAAAACACTTCACGGCTATGTTTAAAGGCAAATCTATGTGTCAGTGTAACGTAGCTCGCCACGTACCGAAATATATTTGAAGCTACGAACAAAGCAGTATTATATACGTATAAATGCGTCGACGGTGGTTAAAGGTCACAACAATATATGTTACAGCATCGGTTTTTTTGACTTGACATTAGTTTCGTAACGATAGTTACAAAACGCGTTACGTGGTTTTAACTCTAGTGGTTTACTGGGCCATATATTGCCTGTTTTGACTATTCTAGTCTATTCTTACAAATTTTCTTGCGGTAATTTTTTAACGGTGTGTTTAATTGTCTCTTTAATGGTCGGTTATCGGACTTTTGTTATTGTAATGGGCCGAAAATCGAAATTGAAAATTTTTACATTTCTCGACGTTTTAAAGGTTTCCGAACATTTTGGTATACCTCAGAAAAAATGGATGCGTGTGTATGTGTGTGTGTGTATGTATGTATGGATACAATTTTTTGTCCACGTTTTCGGGCGCACGGATCAACCGATTTAAATGGTTTAAAAAACATTCGATTCCTATTGATAGGGAGATGTGCTGATTAGTTTTTGGCAAAAGCAGGTCCAGCAATTACGGAGATAAAGAGCAAAGAGTGCAGAAAATAGAAATCGAGTTTTTGAGAGAACGGAGCATCCGATTTGAATGATCTAAAAACATTCAATTAGTAATGATTGGGAGAAGTGTTTATTAGTTTTTTTCAAAGGCAGTCGCAGCCATTTTGAAGATACGGAGCTAAATGTGCAAAAAATGACAGTTTTTGAGAAAACTAAGCGTCCGATTTAAGTGATTCAAAAAACTTTCTGCTTGTTTTAACAAAATAATTGATTTTGGAAAAAAAATGTTTCAACTTTTTTATATAATTTTTATAAATATATAATTTTTATAAATATTAGACAATGTTACAATATTTATAATAATCTATTTGGAAACATTCAGTATTCCTCAAACATTTTGTTACGGTACGGGAAGTTTCAGCAATTTGCCTTAAGGCACGATGCCATACACACGACTAGTTTTTACTATATTTGGTGTAGTACTTGTTCATGCGGATTATTAGCAGGCGTTGTTCCTGTATTGCGTATCGATATAGTCTGTTGCATATTGATTGTGGTCATTAATGTCAGGCGCTTCCAAGTGGCATCATGTGTTGTGAAATAAAACAAAACTAATAGTTTTTAATTTATATACAATATATAGGACTTACGTCGTAGGATGTTCCACTTTCCTATGTTCGTAAGGATCATAATATTCGTTCTTTGAATTGTTTTTGACGTCCTGGAGTTCCACACCAAAGACATTGTCATTGAATTTGCTGTCAATGCTGGTCGCAAGACTACTGAAAATTATAATAATTTATTATAGATTATATATTATAGATCATAAAATAATTATTACCTATTAATTATATTAATAATAACATATATGAAAACGTATTATACATGAGCACATAAAAAAGTTAAGTTTTACAAAGCTTAGTTTTTTTTTAAAGCAATGTAATAGAAACGTTATATTTTAATATATATATATATATATTGAAATGATATGAGGGGTTGGTAGTATGGTTCGGGTATGGGTTGGAGGTCCTTTTGTTGTAAGATCCACAGTCCGGGATATTGGTTACTGTAGTAGCTTCTTTATGCGATATGGTAATAATGTCCGTCCAACCTTTCCTGATGCCTTGGGTCGAGCTGTTGGAATAATATTTGATCGACTGGTTTGTTGCGAGTTCTCTTCAGATTAATGGGTCCTTTCAATAAGGTATTCGCTGGAAGAGACAAACTTCTGGTTCCAATAAAAATCCACTTATAATGTTTTACACTGTATTTATTGCTTTACTTCACAGACATAATCTCCACTTAGATTATTTAAGACTACTCTAATACTATACAAATTTTGCTTCTATATATTGCGTTTCGTACGTGATGATTCTTAGGCATGGCGCGCTTCCGCATTCATACGGAGATCTTGGACTTTGATTTACATTGAACAATGAATTCATATTTTTATTAAAAGCACGTATGATTACAGAACACGCCACCCCTAAAGAATATTGTTAGTCCTCTAACAATTAAAAGAAAAAGAAATTACAATTTATTGGGGTTCCTCCCCTCTGAAACAATTTATCGTCCTCGATAAATGAAAAATAATGACAGTAATACTGACATGATGTTTAATTTAATTCTGCTACTTTTACTTCATGATAGTTATTTTAAACTATCTTACATTTTTTCTTTCTATAATTTGAAATTATTTTTAATGTATAACTTCTTCTAAATTATAAAAATTTAAAATGTCTAATCTCTAAGTTTTTAATTTCTAAAAATTATAATTCTAATTCTAATAAAGATAATTCTGAAGCAAGAACATTAATTAACTATCATATAATTATTTTCTGTTTAAGAATGATTTTTAACAATTTATAATACAAAATGAAATAATATTAATATTGTACAATGACTTTCAAAATAAATTTATAATGATTTTTATCAGATTTATAACATTAATACAAAAAATAATATTTCTAAATAGAATTATAATGAGTTTTGTCAATTTGATACAGAATAATATTGATATTCTACAAAGATTTTCAAATAAAATTATAATAATTTTTATCAAATTTATGACATTGATACAAAATAATATTGTACAAAGATTTTCAAATAATATAAAATTATAATGTTCTTTATCAATTTTATACAAAATAATATTTCAAATAATAATAAAGTTATAATGATTTGATTTTTTTTTTTTTTTTTTCGAATTTATATCATTAATTCAATGTTTTTATATTTTGTAAAATAAATTTATAATTTTCTTAGCAATATCATTTACAAAATTGCATATTCAATGTTGCCATAATATTTCGCTGCATAATGATCTCTATAGTTCATTAACATTGCTATCTGACATAATAAATTTTAAGTTTACAATTTCAATAATTTGTTTTTCATGATACAGCGGAATACCATAACAACAAGTAATTATGTTTTCATACATATCATATTCATTTGACACTATTTGTAATGTTGAAATTGCATTCAGGCGGCCAGGTTTCGCAACTCGTGGGTCTCGGTGTTTTGGCTTTCGGAACGTATGTAGGACTTATACGCGAGTATTATTATTAAAATACTTAAGCAGGCAATAATTCCACCAATCAGATACGCATTCACTGATTGTATAGGTTTTTGCGTAATTATCTGACCCATTTCTACTTGCATTTTATTTATGCTTTTTGAATATTGTTTTAAAAGATTGTCATCAATTATACTTTGGAAAATGTGTGGTGTTTCGGAATTGTGTCGAGCATGACGTTTTCACTTTCCAGGTCAATTCCGTTTATTTGAATAGAACTCATGAAAGCTGTTGAAACATTGTTTGTATTCTTGATCTACTTTTTATTATAAAATTATTTCCAACAATTTTACAACCATCAGCAATGTTTATTAATCCCGTTCCAGAAATCTGCACGATATCTCTCGCATTTCTGCAAGAGATTCTTAGTTCTTCCTGGTCGGAACAAACAAACCCCCAAGTGCCTTCGGTGTACAAATCAAAAAACAATGTGTGATTAATTTTTAATAATTTGGTTTCACATGAGTCTGGAATTTTCTCCTTTGATGTAAACAACATGCTCTCACAATCCTGTCCTTGTCTTAAATAAGAAATTGGTTTAGTTATTTCCCATATAAATCTATTATTATGTATTGTTATAAATTTATTAATGTCTTCATTATTTAGTAAAACGTAGTGTATCATATCTTTATCCACCATAATGAATGAATATTTATGGGATATAAACAAGTAATTATTCGAACCGACATGCTTTGGAATAGTTGTAATCTTGTAAATTTCAAAATCATTCTCTGATATTAATGGAATGTTTAATTTAAAATTTAATTTATTATTATAAATGTAAATATTAACTTTGGCAATATTATAAATAAGTAAAACATCACGTTCTATTAAATCGTATGGAAACTTCAAATTATTATCTAAATTCGGAATAATGTTGGATATTATCGTTCTTAATTTTTTTATTGGCATTATGTATGGGTGCAGTTTGCCATGAAGAGCCATTATTACCACTTCTGCCAGTTTGTTTTGGTATAAAATGAAATTTTCAATGTGATAATTATATAATAAAAACATCTTTTCAATTTGCACCAGAGTATTCGCAAGATGCAGGCCATTCTGTGCTTTATTAATTATTAACTCAATACTATCAAAGTTAGATTCGATTTCGTCAGATAACTTGTTTATTTGATTAGTTAAATTTGTTAAAACCTTAAATTCAGACTGATAGATACCAATTTGTTGTTTATTTAAATTTAATAAATGATTTTGATTATTTTTTAAAAGTCTAATATGTTCATCAAAGTATTCCGCGTCAGACTCAGTTAGAGTTCCAAACAGTTGTTTGGAAATGGATCCGATTATGTTTAAAAGTGCACGTTTTTCTCTAACTGAACCTGTATCTTGGATGAGGTCTAAAATGATGTCATTTTGACTTATAACAGTCTTTAAAATATTTCTTGACGACTCTAAGAATGGCTTGCATATTTGCTGGTACTCTGATGTATTACATCTAGTTTGAACTATATCAAAAGTAGTAATAATTCTCTTCAAATTTAACTTGTATTCTATAAGATCGTGTGAGATAATGATATCGAAATAGTCACTACATAGTTCCACTATGCCAATTTTCTCGTAATAAATCCCCGGGCTTTCTATTCTGGTGATGTTAAAGTTTGGGGAACCCATTGCAACTGGAACCATCAGGGTAGACAAAATCAGTAATAAGCAGTTCACAATCATCCTGTTGGGAAGAATTAAAAGTCAGGTCCTGCTTTTTCCAATAGTTTCAGATCTCTGGGCTTCGGGAAAGTTGTAATTCCGTTAATTAACAGAATTACTCGTGGGAGAATACATGTTTGTGATTTATGGTTGTGATTTATGTTTATATATTTTTTTTTATTTATTTATTATGTTTTGTAAATTGATTTTTATTTATTAATTAATTATTGTGCTTATAATTAATGATTATATTTTTAAATATTGATTGATGTATTCTTTTAATTGCAATTTATTCGTAAATATTTTTATTTATTATTTCTAACTGAATGTTAATTAATCGAACAAGTCACATGCAATATCGAACGTATATACATGTAATATTCTGTAAATTTGTAGGTGCAAAATTTACTAGTTTAGACTTCTATAAAATCAAAACAAATAGTTATTTGATATGTTGAAAAATGATAAGTAAACCAAGTTCAATCGTTATAAAACCAAATTCATATAATATTTCTTTAGTCAAATTTCAAACAGAAATATGATAAAGAATAAAGCAAAATAAAACAATTACTTCAAGAATTTCTATTTTTAGTATTTGATAAAAATAAAAAATTTAAAAAAAAATCAAATGTAATTATTTAATAAAATATTTAACAATTTAGCGTTAAAATTTTATTTTTCAATTACTATAAGAAATTAGCTGTATTGAAATGCTTTTATTCATAATGCAATAATAAAACTATAATTAAATATTTTACATTTACAAAATTTACTTGTTCTTAGAGAAATTTGAAAGTAGAAAAATAAATAACTTAAGTTTACTTATGAAATTAATGAAGTCTTGTGTGGTTGAATAATAGTTAGAAAAATATGATTATAAATGATTAAAATTAATAATATTCGTTAAAGAAAAATAAAGTTAGAAAATATTATACGTTCGATATATTGCAATGTATATTTTTAAATGGAAATAAATTGGATTACATCAATCATTAAATTTTTTCAAGTTATTATTATGAATAATTATGGTTTTCCCTTTTACATTTAGTTTTGAATTTACCCCTTCTTGTTCTATAACCTCATAAGGACCTTTGTAAATGGGCATTAATTTTTTGCATTTGCCTTTATACGGTGTGTTGTCTTTCATTAGAACTAAGTCTCCAACTCTGAAATTTGATTCTTTAATGTATGAATCATAACGCTCTTTAGATTTTTCTTTAGTTTTAATAAGATTCTCGCGCGCTATCGCGGTTACCTGCTGCAATTTAGTTTTTATTTCATTAGCAAAATTGTCGTATGTATTCTGGATCTTGGGTTCTCTATTTACGAACGTTGGCAAATCAATTTTTCTCCCGTATACTAATTCGAAAGGCGAAAATTTTGTAGAACAATGTGGAGTGGTATTATGAACGAAAACGGCGTAATTAATCCATGTGTCCCACGTTTTTTCATCTTTCCCTATGTACGACCGGACATAGTTTAAGAACATGTGGTGACATTTCTCCAGAGACGCATTTGATTCCGGATGATATACTGATATGT